AAATTCTCTAGTCCCTTTCGAGCTTGCTCCTTTTGTTCTAGCGGTTTGCGCCTCTTTTTCAGATTCTCCGGCCCTTTTCGAACTTGTTCCTCCTGTTTCTCAAATTCTCTAATCCCAATCGAGCGGCTTGCGCCTCTTCCCGACATTCTCCAGTCCCGTTCGATCTTGTTCCTCCTTGTTTCAAACTCTCTAGCCCCTTGGGCGCGTTGCGCGCCGCTCTTTCGTGTTCCTCGTTCTTCTCAAACTCACTAGTCCCTTTCGATATGGAGCTTGTTCCTCCTTATTTTTCAAATCCTGGTCCGTCTCGAGCGGTTTTGCGCCTCTTTCTCAAATTCTCAAACCCATTTCGATTTTTGCTCCTGCTTGTTCTCAGACTCTCTCTGGTTCTTTTTACAAGCAGTTAATGCCTCTTTCTCAAATTCTTTAGTCTCTTTCGAGATTGTTCCTCCTTTTCTCAAACTCTCTAGTCCCTTTTGAGCGGTTCGCGCCTCATTCCAAAATATCCTGGTCCCTCTCGAGCTTGTTCCTCATGTTTCTCAACCTCTCTAATCCATTTCGAGCGGTTTGCGCCTGCTTCGCAAATTCTCTAGTCCCTGTCGAGACTTTTCCTCCGTCTTCTCACACTCCCTGATCCGTTTTGAACAGTTTGCGCTTGTTTCTCAAACTCTCTAGTCCCTTGTGAGCTTGTTCCTCATGTTTCTCAACCTCCTTCGTCCGTTTCGAGCTCTTTGCGCCGCTTTCTCAAATTCTCTAGTCCCTTTGGATTTTGGTGTATATTATAGCACAAAATGACCTGCCGACCTGGAACTTGTGTTCTAAACCACCCGCCCATCCCAATACCCACCACTGCCTTCTCGACGAGCCCAATACCTCTCAATCTAGCCATACACGATAAGCCATACTGAGGACCTTTCTATCGTCTATGGTTTCAGGCAGGTTAAGGAACACAGATTGTTTAAGTTGGGTGTCCCAAACACATTGCCGACCTCGTCGAGGAGGGCATCGGTGGCAAGGGATTGCACGCGGCCGATGGGCGTCATGCAGTCCTGCGCTGGACCGGCATTTAGGCTGTAGGGTTTATCTTGCAGGGCTCAAGGTTTTGGGCCTAGGGTTTAAGGTTCAGAGTTTGGGGTTTAGGGCTACTTCGTTCCATTGTTGCAGGATTTCCGGTGTTGCTTCGTCTTTCGGGCTTTTGGGGTCGCTTCGGGCTCATAGCTGTGACGGAAAGGCCCCCTACTATGCTTGGCAGTCTGGGAAGGCCATCAAAGGCTTCAAACCGCGCCCCACCTCATAGTGAGCATTTCAACCACCCCCCAAAGTGTCCGCTACCGGCTTGGCTTGGCGTACTATAGTGATGATAGGACTATAACGGGATAGTATTGCTAAGACGTCCGACATCTACCCTAAACCCTAAGCCCTCAGCCAAAAAGCACACAAATTTCGATTATTGTGGGCAAAGGCCGTTCCCTCCAAAGCCCATCACCGGGGTCCTGACAGCGCTTCTGGGCCATGCAAAGGGCTCCCTGCATGATGTCAGCCTTCTCTTAGCCCGTTGAAGGATTTTAAGGCTAAGGGTTTAGGGTTTAGGGTCCTAGCCTGTTGAAGGGTTCCAGGGCTAGGAATTGCGGATTTAGGGTTTTAAGGTACTACCTTTACCTTGCCTCACCAGGTCGGAAACCCGGGACGATAAATCCGAGCTCGTCCGGTCTTCGAGAGTGACGGATTCCGGGGTGGAAGACCCTAAACCCTAAACCTCAACCCTCAGAGCCTGAAGCATTTTGTCCTCAACCCTCAGAGCCTGAGGCGTTTTTGGGGCTTGGGGTTTACGGTGGGCCCTGAAACCTTTCAGAAACCGCCAGAAAAAGCCCTCGGCCCTTCGCTGACAAGGTTGCTCGGTGGGTTTTGGGGTTCAGCGGTTTAGGGTTGAGGGCTTCGGGTCTAAATCGAAATCCTAACTCCTTTTCCAAGGCCTCCTCACGGGAGAGGTGGCCCCTCTCCCGATGGATGTCCAGCGCTGCCGCCATCTCGGCGCCAGCGAAAAAGTGTCCTGACGTGGCGGAGCTTTCTGAAATCCGGCTTAGGGCCTATCTGGCGCCCCAAAAAACCCACCTTTTTCAGGACTTTTATAAAGAAATCATAATAAGGAGCCCTAAAAAGAAAGGTTTTATAAGACTTATACAAGGAAACCCTAAACCCTAAACCCTAAACCCTAAAGGGAAGGTGTTATAGGGTGCAGGTATAGGGTCTTAAGGACGGGGGCCCGGTGGTTGAAGATTCCGGGCTTCGGGTTCAGGACGTCTGGGTGTGGGGGCTTTGAAGGGCCGGGGGGATGAAGGGCGCTTAGGGTTTAGGGTTTAGGGTTTAGGGTTTAGGGTTTAGGGTTTAGGGTTTAGGGTTTAGGATTCAGGCTTGGGGCTGCCGGAATTCGTCGCTTAGGGACTTCCTAGCCTGTGGAAGAATCTGAAGGCTTCTGGCCCCAAACGGTTTAGGGTTTAGGATTTTAGGGTTTTAGGGTTTAGGGTTTAGGGTTTAAAGCAAAAACAACAGGAACCCCCAAACCCTTTAACGAAACCCCAGTCTTATCCACGCTCACCTTCGTCGTGGCCGAGGACGCAATCCAGAAGCTTGGCGATGGGCCAAGCAATAGGCCAGCAAAGCACCAATAAACCTGGAATCTGGGGCTTGGGATTTAGGAAGTAATTAGGATTCAGCATGTAGCACGCAAGCCACAGCGAGGATTTAAGGTTCAGAGATTTGGACAAGGCATTGATCAAGTGCGGTGGAATGTGGAACTTGAGCTTTAGGATTGAAGCGGAACCCCTGGAGCCCTCCAAACTTCTGACCTAGACACAGCCTGTAACGCTTAGGAGCCGTGAAAATCGCGACAGTGAGAACTGCAGTGACAGTCACCATACAGTAAATTAGTTACTAAACCCTAAACCCTAAACCCTAAACCCCTAAACCCTAAACCCTAAACCCCTAAACCCTAAACCCTTAAACCCTAAACCCTAAACCCCGTACATGTATGAAGGTCCACACACCACAACGAGGAGTCTTCGGAGGCCTCCATGAGTACGATTCAGCCCCCTAGGTGCCAAAAAAGGCTCACCGACCTGGGGCTTAGGGTTTAGGGTTTAGGGTTTAGGGTTTAGGGTTTAGGGTTTAGGGTTTGTGGGTTAGGGTTTAGGGTTTAGGGTTTAGGGTTGAGGGTTTAGGGTTTAGGGCTGTCTGCTCGGAACCAACTCTGAACTGTCCGTCTATGCCAACTCACGACATGCCAGATCATAACCCCCTTCAGGTCGCCAAAACACTACACTGCAGTACACCCAAACCCCCAAACAACAAGCCGACATCCCAACCAAAACATCAAAGAACTCAAAGCCAGCGGGATGATGTCATAGAATGGAGATCTTTAACTTCATATGGGCTTGGGGTTTAGTTTAAGATTTAGGCTTTTGGATTTTGGGCTCAGGGTTTAGAGTTTCATTTTCTGGGATCCGAAAGCACGCAACCCGAACCTGCCAAGGTGCATCTCACGATTGGGGCGGCCGCGGCACCTACCGCGAGGCCGTAGGCTTTGCACACGGCCTTCCAAAGACTGTCTGATGCTCAGTAGGGAATGGGGGAATGGATCCCTATGATAGTCCCATAAGGTCCCTTTTCGTGGTCCCTCTAACCCATTCCCCCATTCCCTACTAAGCACCAGACAGAAGAGGGGGGGCTCTAAGGATTACTGTAGAGCTTTGGGTTTTAGGGTTTAGGGTTTAAGGTGTAAGGGTTACCGTCGAGCTTTGGGTTTTCGTTTAGTTTAACCCTTAACCCTGCCCAGACAGCCCGATACCCCTTAATTAAGGAATATAGCTTAAATCATAATATGAAGCCCCTTATAATTTAAGGCATATTGCTTAATTAAGGGGTATTGGGCTCTCTGGGTGAATCCTAAACCTTCAACCTTGAACCCTAAAGACACGATCGGGTACTCCTTGGAAGCTACTCTGACCTGTGACTCCTGATCGGAGGCCTGGGTCTGGCCCCTTGGGTATTTGTAGCCCCTTCTGTAAAGCCCCCAAGAGAATATCTCACCAGCACGCCCAAGACCCCAAAGCGCATCGCAAAGAATACCCCGCTCCTTTCTTGGGCTTAGGGTTTGGGTTTAGGGTTTAGGGTTTAGGGTTTAGGGTTTAGGGTTTAGGCTTTAGGGTTTTTAGGGTTTAGGGTTTAGGGTATCTTCCAGATGGAAAACAGGTCTGACGAACTTGCTCACGGCACAGCGGCCGCAGCCCGGGCCACAGCTCGAAGGCACTAGCACAGCCCTGAGTCACAGTGGTTCAATGAGCCCTAAACCATCCCTAAACCCTAAGCCCTGAACCTGAGTCTCAGGTTTTAAAGACATAGAGCCATAAGGACAACGCCAAACTCCTATGCCCCCGAGCCCTTCGAAGCCTGCGGCCCTGAGCCCCGATCAACATGCCTGCGGCAAGATCTCGCCAAAGGCGAGCACCTGCGTTGGGATGAGGGGTCAAAGATCAGAGGCTTAATATAGGGATTAAGAATAGGGTTTCCGGGCCCAGTATACTATAATTATACAAAGGAACCCCCAAAATGGTACTGGTAATTGTTTGAGCCCCTACATTAGTTCGGGTCGCACAGTGAAAACCGTAAGACCCTGAACCGCACAGCCCTGAACTCCTAAAGCCCCCTCGCCTGATCTGCAAAAACGCTCGAGGCTCCTGGCTTTTATAGGCTCTCTTTGGGTACTGCCCCCATACAGCAGCAGCCACGGGCCTAATAGGTCTATATTCTGAATACTATTGAACTGTTGCTGAGTGGGGGCAGCACCCAAGGCTCTCTGGTCAGGACTGGCGTCTGGTACTGGAGGCTTCCTTCCTGGTGTGACAGCTGTTCCAGGTCATAAGGCTTCAGGGCTTCGGCTTTTTGCAGGGTGTGTATAAAGATACACCTGCATCTGTATAAGTTTTTGTACATGTATGTGTATGTATGTCTGGATAAACATACATTTTTATGTATACATACTTACATACATACATATGTATGTGTCTGTCTGTCTATATATATATATATAAGTATCTAAGAACTATACTATATACACTGTGGCTAGTGCCGTCGTGCGTGGATTATTTGATCTGTTGTGATTCCAGTTTGCATTGACTGCTCTTATCCTTCGATTGCGAGAACCAGCATCAGCTCGAGCCAGTTACTGCTACTGCGTCATTTGAATGCGCATGTCGTGCTTGCACTGTGGCTTTTTGGTTCTATGGCTTTGTGTCTTCTGACCTACGAACACACGGCTGATTCTGACCCGCCCTGTGCCTAAATCCCCGAAACCTCGCCCTAGTAGCAATACTCTTCGTGCTCATATCCTTGTTGGCATTGCTGGCTCCTTTTCGATACTGAAGGCGAATAAGCACACTAAACTGAAGCTACATTTGGTCAATACCCCTCCTAGCAGTCGCCCACTTGGGTTCAACGCTGAATCCCTAAACCCGTGGCCGCACGTGGCCCGTGTAAATCCCAATAGCCCGGTAAATTATTGTTCTCCCAGGCGGCCTACCGGACTTGCACGGAAAGCTCCCAATGGGCCAGCCGAGGGGTCTAGGTGTGTTGTCTAGGCCTTCTGGGTTTGTACAGGGAATGATGTGCTCTTTGCGGTTGCCAGCAGATCAGGAGTTTCTTTATTGCCATGTCCTGTGCGTGATGGAACACATGGATTGCAAGTGATTTGGGCCTTCGTCTTCGACCGGAAACAGACACCTGCTGCCTTTGCATAGTCGCTGCCCGGAAGGACCGGGCGCTGGATCTGTCATCCAGGATCACATCACTAGCCAGACTCTGAGACGATGCCACAGGCAATGCTTCCGCAAGGAGATTGGATGTTACTCAATCTCCCTTTCATGATTGCTGTTGTCGTTGAAATCTGCGTGCTATTTTCGCAGCTCTTACCTCCTCTTGCAAGTGCTTCCCCCAGTGCTAGCTACTTATTTTAGGAAGAGCGCCTGCCAAGTTGCAGGACGTGCTGCGAGTGGCCTTATGCATCTACCGTTGTGGTTTCCCAACACTTATTGTCACTGATGCGACTGCTGATCTGTTCGTCAGCATGGTCGCTGTAAAAAAGTGTGGACCGCATCATGCTGTTTGGCATTTTGTTGATCTTCTCATGAGTCTCAACCAGCAGCATGGCCCGCTTTATCCTTGTTCTGCAGGAAACAGCCGCACAGTGATCCTTCCGTGTGACACAAACTGTTACTTGCCTGTCGCTCTTGGCACCACACCAGGTTTACAACAAAATCTCGCACAGCAAATGTCAACAACGACGGTTCGAGTTTGAAGCTTCGCAACAATAGCTTTACCGCCGTGCCCGAGGTGAAACAGCTGGTGTTGTGAGATGCCCTGCGACCCGAAGGAAAAGGCTGTGTCTGCTAAAGCTCCTCGAGACTCATTGATCACTCCCATGGGCGAAGGGGGGGGGGGGGTCTCTTTTCTAGTCCCGATGCAAATGTTTCATTTGGAGGGTCTGCTATTGCAGGACAATGCACCCATGCAGCAGGACATATAAGCAACGAACGATGGGGGCGATGGCAGTATCCATCAATGCCCAAGCCCCAGTCCCCCCACAGAGGCAGTTTACCCCGCACGATGCCTCAACCCAAAGCCCGAGTGTTATTCCGGGAGACAGGTATTCCTAACTTTAGTATTGGAAGGCGACAAACTATGCTGACCATCAAATGATTCCCAATAGACTTAGACGTAAGTCGGTCATCTATGTGGTTATTCTCAAGAACCAGTCAGGTGCCTGAACAATCCGTGGCGTACCTCACGTATAGACTATGCTGAAGCTAGTGTAATCCCTAACAAAACCCCAGCCCGCTGAATCACTCAGCTTCCGCGTGATTATCAGCCTTCTGCCCAGTGAAGTGTGGAAATGTTAACCGCTGCGTGGCCAGGGCATTGCTCCGTGCGGAGGGTTTATATATTATCATAATATGGTCATGGTTTCGGGCTTGTAGTAGCTTAAGCCCTTGCCTCATCCCCAAACCGCGAAAAAACTAACCTCCTAAAGGCCAAATCAAAATCAATGAAATGCAGGATAACCGCTGGTTTCCAGGTTTCTGTCCAGGGGTTTCTTAAGCAGGCTCCTAGATTTTGGACGACGGCCATAGCATCTCTCCAGAAAAGATTAGATTCAGGATTCGACTACCCGCTATGCTGTACTACCAGCAGTCCAAAGAGGGTGTATTCGTAACATTTGTAACATCATTCGAAAGTTTTGCATAGTTGCTGTAGTCCGGGACACCGGTTGGCGTTCGAGCGACATTCAGCATCGAGCGGTTTAGGGAACTGGGCCGTTAAGGATCGTAGGATGCACCGACAGGATTTCGAGGTTGCATTCAGGGTTTGGGGGTAGGAGTTAGGACTTTGGGTTTAGGCCTTTAGGGCTTGAAGTTTGGGGAGCCCCAGGCGGCGGTAAGTGAGTTACCAAGCTGGCTCAAGAGATATGTCATGTGTGGTTCACGGCCTCTGCCAAAGTTTGCCTGCCCGTGCCTCCGGCTCGTTTGCAGTTGCCTGCACGATACTTGAAACCAGGACCCTATAGTCTTGGGATTGCGGCTTAAGTGTTAATGAAGTTGGCCTCGGGTCCAGCATGCTTCGATGCAGCCTCACAGCTTGGTGCATCTGCAGGCTGTATGCGTGGTTGGAGTTGTAAAAAGATTACCACCCTGGGCGGGATCCTTCAGGTGAGGATCTTGTGATCGTCTATTTTCTGAACTCCCATGTCCCCGGCTTGCCTAACGGAGTCATCAGCTGTATGACAGCTTATTATGATTCGTTAAAGCTTCTTCTTGAGAATGACCTGGGACGTGAACGCTACGGAGTTCTTGCGCAACCCCTGTTTTGCAAGGTTTGCAAGATCTCCGCCTTGTGGAACCCTAAACGGCCAAAGCTGAAGCCACGAATGCCAGCTTAGTTTTGCGGGCTTGCCAGGTGAACTATGCAAGGGCAGAGCCCTCGGTTTCACAAAGAACCGGCGTAGCATAACAACACTTTTAAGAGGTGAAGGCAGCCGGTCGGAGCCGCAAACTTTGAGGGAGTGAGACCGGGTTGGCTTTGCTGTGTTCCTCTCGATGTCACCTGTTGGGGGCACTGCGGCATGCGCCGAAGTGACTTCCTGTGGTTGGACTGTTAAGACACTAGCGCAGTCAAACTGTCCGAAAACTACTCCACAAACTGCATTGTAGACATCTGCGGTTTCTTGCTGCAGCATGTGCTGCTGGCCACCTACTGCCAGTCCCCGCAGTATTGATTGCTGTTGGTTTATCGTGCCTTTTCATGGTTTGCTTATTGCATACCCGTACCGATGATGTTCGATCCCAGCTTGTGTTGCACTTTGTTGTGATGCCATGTCACGACGTGTGAAAGGCTGCGTAACCGGACATGCTTAATACTCGCCAGCCGGCATTGATCCACCAACCCGCAAGGCAAATACGTCAAACCGAGCAGAGCCACCATTCCCGAACTTACAACCCGTAGCCCTAAGCTCAGATCCCTTTGCCTTCAGCCGTTGATTGGCGGGTGTAAGGCTGGGGCGCTTTGCGCAACATCCCGAGTATGAAGACTCGTCGCGCCCACCGTCGCGTTGAGCTCAGAGAGCTCTTCGGCCTTGGGTTTACACTTAGGCTTCAAGTTTTGGGGTAAAGGTCATCTTGGGGTTTTGGGCTTCCAGGGTGTGGCTTGATTGCTGCCATGTCTGTTGCGAAGATGTAGTTGCGGCACTTGAACCCGTTATCTAGCTTTGGCAAACTCTTCCTGATGTGCAGTCTGGGTTTTTCTTCTCAATCGCCGTGCTGCTGAGATCGTGCTGTTTCGCTGTGAGTAGCAGGTGCCATCGCTTTTGTTTGCGGCAATATTGACCACAGCTTGAAGTGTAAAATCCTTCAAAAATCCAACCTAATTCATGAAACCCGAAAACTGTCTGACTCAGTTGCTGCAACTTTTCGATTGTAAGAACTCTCAGAGAGATCCTCAACGAGCCCGCCACCCTGAACCCTGCACGTCAATTGCCGCCCAGCCCAATGAGCACCCTGAGTAGTCCATCGTTAAAGCTTTGTGCCCTAAGCTTCAGACCGGAAAAATACCAACATCAAAGAGCCAACAATGTTATACCCTGAACCCTCAAAAAACTAATCTTTGGAACCCTAAACCGTGGACTCCCTAAAAACACATCCCCACGCCCACGGGTCAACCCTTGACCCACTAAACCCTTAAGAAACGATCTAACAATCTAAGCGTGAGATCCGCACACCCCAATGTCGGAGCCGGTCCCTTCACCCTCCCCCCACTCCATTCCACTCAAAGAGGAAGAAGCACATGTTTTTTCAACATGTACAGTTGCATACCAACACGTACATAAGTGCATGCATACATACATGCATGCATACATACGTTGATGACATACACACATAAATAAGTAAATACATAATCATATATGCGTGTGTGTGTGTGTGCATGAAGCTGCACATTTACGAGTCGCATGTTCATGACTTCAGTTTTTATCGCAGCCCCACAGGTCTGGATCTGCGTTGATTGCCGACCATGGCATGTACCAGCCCATTCCCACGAGCGAGCCTTGGCCGACATTGAGAGCAGTTTTTTGTTGTTTTGTTGTGTGGGTACGTAAGGGCATGTTTCGGCATGGATTTCACAAAGGTGCTATGCCGGGTACTACGGTTTAACTTGCACCAGTATTTCTCGTAGGCTTGTTTCTTGTTATAGGGCCGGTGCAGCGAATTTGACCTGGCGGAACCCTACTGAAATCCGTACCAAAACTCCACGAAACTCTTCTCACACCCGCGCAGAACCCTTGTATCAGCCTTTGAAAAAGACCTGAGAGCAGCCTCTAAGGAGCACACAGACGGTTCGAACAGCCCACAGTGTGGGGCTCAGTATTTGGATTTGTGGGCTTGAAGTTGATTAGATTTAGGTTTCCAATGTTTGGAATTCTGTGGATTCGGGTTTCTTTGCATCCTCTGTAGTACTGCAAGAGAATCATGAGGTCACCGATATCTGCAGTTTGAGTTGTTGGCCAAGCCCATAGCAATAGTGGTCGCGATCGTCCTAAGATTCGTTTATAGGTTAACACAGGTCATGTTTGCATGTACATTGATGCGAAGAATGCAACGGTCAGCTCAAGCAGGACTTGCAAGCAGCAGCAGCAGCAAGAGGAGGCGTAGTAGTAGTTGCAGTAAGAATAGTTGGCACAGTCGCTGTCGTAGTCGTAGTTTAGTGGTAGTAGACTCAGCAGCAGCAGCAGCAGTGATCATGATAGGGGTAGCCATAGCAGCAATGAGAAGAGGACTCTCGAAAACACTGCTACGAGCATGTAAGTACCGTCGTAGCAGCTATTAAGAATGGCAGCAGCAGCCACAACAGCAAGAAGCGACGATGACCTCAACAACAACAACAACAACAACGACAACCGCGACTAAGACGACAGCAACAACAACGACGACGACCACTACAGCTACAACAACAGCGACAACGACAGCGACAGCCACCACATCATCAACAACAACAGCAGCAGCAACAACAACACCAACAACAACGACAACAGCAATAACAACGACAACGACAGCAACAACGGCGGCGACAACGACAAAGACAACCACAGCAACCACAACCACCACCACAACAACGGCAACAGCAACGACAACACCAAACCACATGAACATTGACGTTAACTTGAACAGTAGCAGCAACATCAACAGCAACAGCAACAACAACATCAACAACAACAGCAACGACGACCACGACGACAAGAACAATAAAAAACAACAACGATGACCACGACAAGCACTACAACCGCTACACCCCACAACGACAGCGACAGCGACAACAACCACCACTACCACCACCACAACAACAACAGCAACAGCAGCAGCAGCAGCAGCAGCAGCAGCAGCAGCACATGCGGCACAAGCACCAACAACACCAACAACACCACCAACACCACCACCAACAACAACAACAGCCAGCACTACAACTAGAGCAACAACAATAACGACAATCACAAGAACAACAGCAACAACCACAACGACGACAACAACGACAACAGTACCACCAACAAACACAATAATGATAATAGTAACAACGGTAACAAGAAGACGAATAACAGCACCGCCACCACCACCGCCAACAACAACAACTTCGTCAACAACAGCAGCAACAACCACAAAACACAACAACAACAACAACAACAACAACAACAACAAGCACAACAACAGCAAGAGCAACAGCAACAGCAACGGCAGCTGCAACAACAACCGCAACCACAACAACCACAACATCAGCAGCAGCAACTACTACTACTACTACTACTACTACTACTACTACTACTACTTCTACTACTTCTACTACTACTACTCCTACTACTACTACTACTACTACTACTACTACTTCTACTACTACTGCTACTGCTATTACTACTGCTACTGCTACTGCTACTGCTACTGCTACTGCTACTGCTACTGCTACTGCTACTGCTGCTGCTACTGCTAGTGCTACTGGTGCTACTGCT